AATTGGAGTCAGATCCCACTGATCTAGCTTCAAATGACTCATTAATTCAACTAGTAAATTGCTAAACAACAGTCTACAAAACCCCTTCTGATATCAATCAATACATGCTCATTAGTGACTGGCTTCAAGAGGTATTTCCTGGAGTTCAAGTGAGAAGTAGTAACCAGTGAAGTTCAACCAGGTCTGTTGTGAGATAATAACTAACTGAAGACAATGTTGGATGTGTCACTCGAATTCGTAGATTAGTTGAAGTTAAACATTAAAACTGTTAGATGCCGGCTCACTGATATAGAGATCAAGAGTTTATTCACTAGACCGATATGTCCTGGGTTTGAATCTCGCGAGGTCATGGATGTTGGGATGAGATAGTCGTCCAATGTCTTCAAGTTCTCCATAGTAGTCTAGTTTCAATTGACTTATAATATTAACTATTGAAATTACTAAAATAAAACTTGATTAAATCCAATTTACAATCTATTCAGTATTCTTTATCTACATTATAGTTTTTGTTCACTTCTCAGGTCATTCAATATTGAATACTTTATTAATAAGCCAAAATTATGAGAGATATGTATACATTCAATGATACATAAATAGAGACATACAAAACTATACTCAACTGTATACATTACATATCTTCTTTTTTCTATATTAATATATTATGAAAGTCATTTCAGCAGAGATTTGAACTTGATCTATTATGCCTTCTCTATGTATGTGAAATGATTAAACCTAAATACATTAACATTATTATTGTTTCGCGCGTACACATTGAACCACTAGACCATTGAGCTGGTATCCAGTGGTGTTAATGTCTAACTTCAACCAATCCATGAAATTGAGTGACACATCCACCATTATCATCAATCAGTTACTATCTCACAACAGACCAGGTTGTTTATTTATATCTTCCTATTGTTATGTTAAGACTACAATTGATCAGTCTCTTGTTGACATATTTGTATTCTGTACAGATTGTCTCTATATTGTCTTAAGTCATAAGGTTTATAAACAAAGATGGATAATGGCTAGCAGTGGAATCCAATTTGATGCGCATTTTGTCAGCTAGATATAACTTGTATTTGAGAGTTAATGTTCACTCTGATACTTGAACCCAGTATCGTTTGCTTTAAATGCCATTGTGTTATTCACTTAGCTATTGTATTCTGATAGCCACCTGCTTGTGCTTATAAAGTTTGTGACTTCAGGCAATCTCGATGCAATCAGCACAGGGTGCATATATACCAACAATAGACTGATCAATTGCAATCTTAAATAACAATGGGAAGATTTCTTGTAATCAGTATAATTACCACTAATAAATAAGTTTGATTCTCTTGTAATGTTAGTGATATTACATTATCAAAATCATTAGATCAGTTTCATGGTAAACATAGAGTCCAGGAGGGAATCAATCCATATAAGGAAAACCTCTTTTCTTCTATTACTACACAAAATCCATAAAATGAATAAATTCTATCTTTCATTAAATAAAATGCTCAATTAAAGTTTTTATATCATACTACAATAAAATAGCTTTGCAATGTTATCTAGTTCCTAATGTTTATCCAATTATGATCAATTGGCATATATGCATCGTGTAGGGGATTGCGTCGATATTCCCTTAAGTCATAAACTTTATAAGCAAAACTGAATAATCTGATGGTGTTTGAAATGAACTGTACTGAATTCGAGTCGTAGAGTGAACATCAACTCTAAGATGTAAGTACATTCAGTTGACGAGTCACAAATAGGACGAAACGTGCATTAAACAGGATTCCACTTCTAATCACTATACATATATGCTTGTAAAAGATTGTATTCACTTTTAACCGTTGAGATTTAAGCTCTCTATCACAGTATATACCTTTTCCATGTATCTATTTAGCACATTATCATTATCATTATTGTAAATAAGTAGTTGGCATATTTCACATGTTTTGTGCATAAATTATTCAGGGTTTCTTATTGTTAACTTGTCAGTTTTTGTAATTTTTCATATTTGGTTAATGAATATAGATCAGATATAATTGATTATAGTGTGTACTATAAGATAGAAGTAACTATCTGTATATAATGGATGCAAACAATCATGGTAATTAAAAGTAATAACACAACTAGTTATAAAATCAATAACTACATTAGAAAGATTAAACATTGTTAATACGAATCAAATAGTGATCTATCAATTACATCCGAGTCCTAGAGGAAGTCGGCCGCCGCCCGGGTAGCCCAGTGGTAACGTCTCTGACCGTGAAGTTAGGTGATACGAGATCGAATCCGTCAGGGAGCACCAGTCCCCTCACGATTACAGGTACAGCTTGCTGACGAGTGTGAAGTTGTACGGAACCCGAGTTCAGGGTTTCCTGTTGACTAACTCTAAACACCATCTAACTGTTATTACTTGCATATGAAGAAGATTGATTCGCTAATATTATCTAATCAAAAATAAAGCAGATTTTTGATCAATGAAGTATCACCCTTCACATTTGGTTGTCAGTTGTTTCAAGTATTATTTGAATATTCCACTTCGGCTAGCTACTGATCAATCAGTCAGTCAGTCGGTCACAATAAAGTTGAAATCTGACACATCTTATTTGTATAGTATAGGGTTGTGGAGATTATTAAATTTTTAATTGAGATCATGAACCGATTAATGTTAGACCACCATTGAAAACCTGGAAACACTGGACGGCCGTTTTGTTCTATTGTGAGACTCTTAACCAGCGTGCATCAACGATCCCGCTGGCGAAATTCAGACCCAAGTTAGACATTAACACCGTTGGATGCCGGCCAGCTCTGTGGTCAAGAGGTTAGGTATTTGCGCGCGAGATTGAAGGCCCTGTGTTCGGATTCCGTGAGCGGGATCGTGGACGTGCACTGTTGAGGAATCACACAATAGGACGAAACGGTCGTCCAGTGTTTCCAAATTTTCAATGGTGGTCTATTTATTCAAGTTGTGATACTTCATCAAAACGGTCGAATGAAATTATTAAAACAAGTCCCAGGCCAATAAAAGTAATAAATACATTAGAAATAATAGACATAGAAAATACGAATCAAGTATAAGGAGAAACAAAGAGTGAATATCTCACCACCATGAATACCAATTCTCACTTATGATAAATAGAGTCATAAATCATTGATCATAATGATTACGTGAATATAAGTAATGTAATGTTTACTCAACCATATAGTTCAATCTAATAATCAATGACTTGATGAACTGATGTGAGTTCTTGGTTTGGTCACTTACAGCTTTCTTCTAATTTACTTATACACTAACAAATATTTACTTCATGTTGACTGGTGGTTTGATATATGTAATTCGCTTGTCAGCCATTTTATTCTATGAGAAGTTTGTATTTTTTAGAATCTTGAAGTTAACTGAAACATTGCTCACTAAGTGAATTCAACGTACAAAGATCATTCATCGAAGTCACATTTTGTCAAATATAGAAACCTATGAATATTCACTTTTTGTGAAAGCAATTTTTATGGTCATCAATTATAACAGAACCACTTGCTTCATATTACACTTGTTAGTCAATCATAAGGATGTTTCGAGCTTAGATGATATAATCGTAGACATTCGTTAGTAAGGCTTATCTGTAATCTGGATTAGACTGATACATTCTGTAAAATCTTAACTAACACACAAATTAGGCATGTCAGATTACGTTTTTTTATTACTCCCTCATGTCTTTAAAAAGGTCTTCCCTCAGTAGTATTAACTCTTTGATACAAACTAATCTTTGAATCATGTGAATTCTATACAAAAGGGATTCTAACCGTATCAATCTAAATGTATTTCAATCTATATCAAAAATAATTCTATGAGTATAGTAGGAATACTACTAACAATATACTCGATTTTAATCAAAAGCTTATTATAATCGTATACGGGTTTTGTGGAGATTATAGTAATTTAATAATTGAATTCATGAATCAATTGAAGCTAGACCACCATGGAAAACCTGGAAGCACTAGATAGCCTTTTCATCCTAGTATAGGACTCCTCATTAACACAACACCATTGGATACCGAGTCAGTGATCTAAAGGTTAAGCGTTCCCACGACAGACTGATAGGAGCTGGGTTCGAATCTCGAGGGGCGAGATGATAGACGCGCACTGCTGAGAAGTCTCATACTAGGATTAAACGATCGTCCAGTACTTACAGGTTTTCCATGGTAGTCTAGATTCAACTGACTCATTATTTCACTCATTAAAAGCTTATCACTTTAATTAATATCAGAAGGGGTTTTTGTGGATATTATAGTAATTTTAATAGTTGATATCATAAGTCAATTGAAGCTGGATCACCATGGAGAACCTATAAGTCCCAGTGAGGACTCCTCAGCAATGAGCATCCGTGATTTCACGTCGCTAGATTCAAATCCAAAACCCATCAGCCGCGCGCATGCACACTGAACCACTAGACCATTGAGCTGGTATCTAGTGGTGTTAATGTCTAACTTCAACTAATCCATGAAATTGAGTGACACATCCACCATTATCACCAATCAGTTACTATCTCACAACAGACCAGGTTGAACTCCACTGGTCACGCCTTCTGACTAGAAGTCCAAGAACTACAACCGTCCAGTGCTTCCACGTTTTCCATGATGGTCTAGCTTTTGATTGACTTATGATCTCTACTATTGATATTACTTTAAGAATATTTTATCGAATGATTTAATCTTTTTGTAGTCACGGTAACAAACACATAAATCATAAAATAATATTGATTTTTATCATTAAAGGGAATAAAATGGCAAAAATAATTATGTAATTATAAAACTATCCCATTTTGTCATTTAGTTTTATACAAAAAAACTAATCAAATAATCAATCAATCGATCAATCAATCAACCAGCCAATTAATCAATTAATCAATAAATCAATAAATTATTGATTCCTTTTCTCATTGTTTCATTGTATTTAATCATCATTAAAATTAGTTCATGTATATTTTTTTTCTAAATGTATTATTTATTAGCTCCGCTTGTGAATAATGCATCGGATATTGCAGCATATTTTGAATCTGGTAAGTGATATAATGAATGACATTAGGAATAAATAAATAACTAAACAGATTTGATAAGCTAATAAAAGTTTTGCATTTGACTTTTTTTTTTTAATCTTTACCAACTTTTATTTGTCTGAATGTTACTGGTTGTGTAGTTGCTAACCTAGATGTTTGGTTATTTTTAAAAAGTTTTATAAAACTACAATCAAATGATGATTGGTTGTTTATTAATGATGGTGGAATCTTTCATGTACTTGGAAAGCATCATTGATGAAAACGGAGGATCGGATACGAACGTAAATGCAAGGATTGGAAAAGTAAGGGCCACATTCCTACAATTGAAGAATATATGGAACTCAAAACAATTGTCTGTCAACCAATATCAAAATCAGAATCTTCAATACGAACGTCAAAACAGTTCTACTGTATAGAGCTGAAAGTTGGGGAACTACTACAACCATCATCAGGAAGGTACGAGTATTTAGAAACCATCATCAACAGCCTACTGTGTGAGAGAACAAACTAGTTTCCATTTGAAGAGGAAATTAGGAAAAGACGATGGAAATGGAAAGGATATACATTATGGAAATCATCAAACTGCATCACGAGGCAAGCCGTAACTTGGAATCCTGAAAGGAAACGGAAATGTGGAAGGCTGAAGAATACATTATGTCAGGAAATAGAAGCAGATATGAATAGGATGAATAACAACTGGAAAGAACTGGAAAGGATTGCTTGGGATATGGTTGGATGAAGAATGCTGTTTGGCGGATTATTCTCCTCCACAGGCATAAGTAAGTAAGTAAGTAAGTAAGTAAGTAAGTAAGTTTGATGAGATTCCATGGGTAAATTTAACCAAAGTTGAAGATGATACCCCATAAGTTAGACGAATATGATTGTCACGTCATTTGTCTCACGATTGAACTTGAACGATAAAAGCTTATTTTTAAAGTATCACGTATGATCATAAGCGTATATACTTCAATTTTCTATTTACGAAATGATCTTCACTAATGTACTTTTTATTAAATAAAGAGAAGAAATAACAGCAACAACACTGATCAGTAATACCGGTGATAGTTTTCTTACTTTCACTTCATTTCTATCTATCAATCTCTTGAAGTAATAACACTATTAGTTTTAAGTTAAAACTTCATCATATGACGTGAAATCAATCACCTAACAACAATAATAAACAATAAATATTATGTTAATCTGTTACTATGCTCTTTTACATTTTATAATGTAAATATTCTATATAAAATGTAATTTGACAAATATGTCATTACTATATATTTCACTATCGATGAACATAGTTTTCTATCTTCTCTGTTGATTAGACTATTTGATACTCATTAGTTTTGAAATGGATAGCGGCTAGTAGTGGAATCCAGTTTGATATGCGTTTCGTCCTATTTGGAACTCAACAGCTAGATGTACCTGGGTCTCAGAGTTGATGTTGACTCCCGAACTCCAACTCAGTATAATTCACTTCAAACACCATCGCGTTCTCCACTTAGCTACTGACTTAAGGCTATATTGAGGCAATCCGCACAAGATGCACATATTTTAACATGAGACTGATCAATTGAAATACTAAATAACAATGGGGAGATATAAGTAAAACAACACAAAGTGAATTTATCTTGTCATATGTTTAATAACCGTTGATTGTATTAATTGAATATTCCTTCCTGTGTATGCGTATTCACATAAACATGTAAATTGATGAATACAATGGGATGTGACGTAAATTATTTATGCATTGTCTAAGACTATTTGGAATCATGGGCTTGGACTTTTTAATCACAACCAATTGAGCAGCATAATTGGTTATCTCGATGACTACTTTCAATCTCTGACTTAAAACTATACTATTCGATTCACCTTTATATATTCACCTCTACATTCATAAATGAAATATTTACACATTAAAAAGTGAGACTATAATTTATGGACGACCGCTGACTGCCGCCAAAGTGACCTTGAGAGTGTTTACCTGATAACTAGGACCAAATGAGGGTTATAAACCAATGTGAAGAATTCGAATTCTGATTTACAGTTCATGGTTAGTGTTAGGAATTAGATTTACGGTTTTCATCACAAACTGACATCAGCTATAATGCCAAAACTCTATTTAGCCAAATGGATGAATGAATTTCGCGCCAAAATCCGAAACCTGTTTTCTTATATCTGATTGGTTCGTTCATAAATTATAGTCTCGCCGTCTGTTGGTCTATACGATTGTGACATTGACATTATAACTAATCTGTACATTTAAAGTATTTTTGCTAATTGTGATTCTTGGACTAGATTAAGTTACAGGAAGAGTTTTTCAGTTGAATTAATTGAACATTCAGATGTTTCCACAAAGTGTGCTAATATTAGTAATGATTTATTCATCATCACTAAGAAGCATTTGACATACATGATGTTGACCAACACCCAGTGATCAATCTATTGTAGATATGAAATTACATTAGTGAGACGGATTCTAGATCGACTTGAAACAAGCTAAGTAGTATTCCAGATTTAAAAATTTCAGAAATACATTTATTTTTAAAAATTTATTCAAAAGTTCAGTTCTCTTTCGACTTCTGAACAGATTGTAAATCAGCAAATACTATTTTCAGAAGGGGGTTTCCTGAAAGTTTCAGTAATTTTATAGTTGAATTCATGAGTCAATTAAAGCTAGATCCCCATGAAAAACCTGAAAGCCCTGGAAAGCCGTTTTGTCGTAATATAGGTCCCTTAGCAGTGCGCATCCACAATCCCGCCCACAAGATCCCAACCCACGACGTATCAGTCTTCCGTACGAACACCTAACCTGTAGACCACTGAGCTAGGCGGCACCCGACGGTGTTAATGTCTTACCTCAATCAATCTATGAAATTGCGCTACCGGTCATGGCTTTTCACTAGAACTCCAGGAAACACCTCCTAAAGCCAGTTACTAGTGAGCACGTGATGACTATTATCAAAAAGGTGTTTTGTGGAGATTTTCCCATTCATTGATTAAAGAAATAAAAAAGATTGAATTCATAAACTTATATTTCAAAATCATTTTATAAAGTGAAATACCCTTCAAATGTAAAAAAGTAAGCTTAAACTCTTATTAGCCCCCAAATGCCCTGGTACGGCCGAGAGTGGGGAGAGTCCGCTCTCCCTCTCGAAATGCTCTCACATGGCCACGCGTATATAGCCTCTGACAGGGAAGTCCTACTCACTGCCTTCTCGCACCACGGGTGTTGTTTACGAAAATGAGAGGACGAAAAGCAAATGTCCGGCGCTTTAACCGGATTCCAAACCAATGGTGCACATGGGCTCCAGTATCCTGCGGGAACAAGTGGCGTATGAACCAATTGTTAGTCACTGGCTTCCATGGGACTGCATCTCTATACGATGCTCCACTGCCTTGTGGATCAGACCTTCAGGTCGAAGGCTCGGGGAGTGGCCCCCTAAGAAAACCACCTGCTTCGGTTTGGGCACTCGGGCAGTAACACAGCCCTCACACATATCGAATGAGATTTGTGCGGCGCATATATATTTGGTGCCTCCTTGTACCAATATCTGTGTAAAAATAAATAAATAAATAAAACTCTTTTTAACAAAAATCCAATTTCGTTATCTATAATGATATTAAAGAAAAGAAGTTTATTTCAACCAAGATACCAGTAATTTATCTTTAATTGTATAGTTTTCTACATCGTAAGAAGGATTATTATCTTTGACTGAACTTGAAGGTAGCTCCATGTGATTATTAATGTTCAGGTCACTGTATCACTTTGTAACAATAAGCTGAAGAATTAATGATGATAATCATTAGGATTTCAATCTTTTAAATGATTATACATCTCAATGTGTCTTAGTTAGGGGATCCAGATAACTCCTTGAAAAAAATCCAAAAAATGCTCTGAATATTCTGAGAAGCATCTTATCCAATCAACATTCACTAGACGTTTCGCCAGAAACATCTAGAAAGTGAAAAGTCACATCACAATTTATTGAGCACTGGGTGCCGATCAATGTCATGCGTGTCTAGTCCTTATTAGTGCAGATCTCATGCTATCGATCATGTTGCAATGTGGCCACCAGTCTAGGTGACTCGACACTGCGGGCACTATATATTGAGATTAGATGGTTGTTGGAGGTAGTTGACAGGAAACCCTGGACCCGGGTTTCGTGCTACTTGGCACTCGTCACCTGTCCAGTTTCTGATTAAATGATTACCTATACTGTTACTATGTTTAGTAGCATTCCAGAAGTTTTCGAAAACTCAAGGTCATCTAAAATGCTATAAAAACCTTCGATTTTCTGTACATAAACAAACATTTGGAGTAAAGTGTTTCTTCCATATTTCTCACATTTTCTCTCATGTTCAAGTTGCTGTGTAGATTTAGCCTAGGGGGTGGGGTTACTAGAACAGCTTAGTAACCGAATTTATTGTTCAAATTAGACGATATATCAATCTTGATAATGAAATGACTCGAATGAATTACATTTTTTAGCCATTTGAAGTTTCTATTATTAAAATTGCTAACATATTTAATAAGAGCAATGTATGAATACAATTCTAACTGTTTGCTTTCGTCGATTGTTATCTACACAAGATTATGTAACTAACTACTAACTGTATTTGTGAGTGATTTTCTTCCTTTTTTTCTCTTTTAATCATTCTACATGTTATTTCTGTAAAGAACTAAGAATGAAACTGTCACGTTTGTTATCTTTAATTGAATGATTGAAGATTGATGGATTCAGTGAACTGATATAATAACAGAATTAGACATAATTGTAATTGAATTAGATTTATAATAACACATATTGAATACATAAATATTGGTACAAAGAAGCATCGAGTACATATGTGTCAGACAAGTCAGTTGATTTGTGTATGGACTGCAATATTGTTCGGGCGCCTAGAGAGAAACAGATGGTCTTCTTAGGGGGGGGTCACTTGCTACAAGTACTATATCTGAACGTTTAGGTTTTTGAAGAAGTTCAAAAAAATTTTTGTAAAAGTCATATTTTACTTCATCCGGACTGCAGTCAGTGGGAACGTAGGTAGAAACGACGAAAAAGCAACGACGTGTGTCCCTATCCTCCTGAGTTCTTACGGAGACGTTTAACCGAACAGCATATAGATGACTGGTAACCGGGATCCACTCTCATAGTGCTTGTTTTACCCTCGTGCGTAATGATATGTCTACACATGCCAGTACACGAGAACTAGCCATCAGGTCTCCAGAGACACAGAGGTTGTATCTCATCGGCTCTCCGTTTTGGCAAGGTAATGTCAAGTGAATTAACTACTTCTATGAATCCGGTGTCCAGCTTGCTGTGCTAATGAGATGTGGCAACTTGGACTGATGCATATACGTGTCTGGTCCTACGTTGTAGCTGACTGAGTGTAGAATATTCAGGAATTGTATTGTACTGAAATAAATCTAAAATTTTATCGTATTGAAATGAATTCAGACTGTTCAAACTGATAGTTAGTCAACATGTTCCATATATTTATAGACCAATGCCATAACAAAATATAATTAATTAATAAATGAATAGCCTTCCAGCCAGAAAATGTATTGGTGAAGTCTAGTAGGCCCTTCTGGAGAAGTGGCTACATAGAAGCACGGCACAACTACCGGGGCGGGATAGATGTTTTTGCAGTTAAAACTGTGCTATTTTTCTTTGTAGCATTTGTAATCGTTTATGGGTATCGGTCGAGTGGTTGACTAGTCCGATCTCTACCACCCGGTTTACCGCTTACGTTAGTTCATGAGACAATTCCCACTATCAAGGAGACACAACGAGGACGTGTGAGTCGGTTCTTACCTCCCAGAAATGAACAGACAAGCAAATAAACAAAGGCAATATTAGAAAAATTCATATACAAAGGTATTCGAATCAATCACACAATAGAGTATAAGTTAATTAATAGAATTGAACTAATACCATCTGTCAACCACATGTTCTACCAAATTCTCATATTCTAAAGTGGGACAACCATTTTTTTGGATTTAGATGTCTGTGTTAAACATTACGTCGTCATCTCTTTAGTAATTATTGTCTAATAATGTTTCCAATCTATCCATGTATATATGATGGTATTTCTTAATTACTATTATTATATTGACACGTTTAAGTACTCCATCTGAATGATCAATCACATTTGAATTAGATAAATGTAAATGAGTATTTAGATCTGGTGTCGTGTGCACATAACACTGTCTGTATTAAACACCAAATACAATCAGACTTTATCAGAATAGGGTTGTGAATATTATTAAGTTTTTGATTGATATCATTGACCGATTGGTGTTAGACCACCATTGAAAACCTGGAAGCACTAAACAGCCGCTTGACCAGTATATCACTGAGCTGGCCGGCATCTAACAGTGTTAATGTCCAACTTCAACCAATCCGCGAAATTGAGCCACCATCTTCCATTGTACTAAGGTAGATACCCGACACGGTCACGGCTTCCCTCATGAAGCTAGTTACTAGTGAGTACATGGTGATTATCAGTATAGGGATGTGGAGATTATCTACCTCAGTACAATGGAAGATGGTCGCGCAATTTTGTGGATTGGTTGAGATTAGACATTAACACCATTGGATGCCGGCTTGGTGGTCGAGAGGTTAAGTTTTCGCGAGCGAGACTGAAGGCCCTGCGTTTGAATCCCGTGAGCGGAATCGTGGATGTGCACTACTGAGGAGTCCCACAATAGGACGAAACGGCCGTCCAATGCTTTCAGGTTTTCAGTGGTGGTCTAACATCAATCAGTTCATGATCTCAAACAGCCACATTTTATCAAAAGGTTCTTCCTTGCAATCCATGATTGGTGGTTAAATTAAAGAACAAGATATAAAGTATGAAAGGACGTTTACTGATTAAAATTTTAATCTGGTACTAAAGAATTGTCACAATATGAATATTAAATGTGAGAGGTATTCACATCCAATTGATCAGTCTTAATCAATATAGAACACTTACCATATCTCCATGATAGTCAATCTCCGAAATTAGTTTACTTTATAATGAGACACTTGTTTATTGAGTCCATATGAGCAACATTAAGATATGATATTCACATATATTACTGAATAAAATAAAGAGAATGATAAAACGGTTCTTCACCCACGTTGTCAAGCATTTCAATTTACTAGGGGTTGTACAGAATATTAAGTTTTTGATTAAGATCATGAACCGATTTATGTTAGACCACCATTGGAAACCTGGAAGCAATCGGTTCATGATCTCAATCTAAAACAGATATACTTTTAAATTATCAAAACAGAATTAAATGGTTTATGGTTTGAACAGGCTAAGACATTCAACTTTATAACACTGTGACAGGTTTGATTCCTGATCTAATTAATTCTCTTTGTGTAGTAAGTTAGTATCATTACCATTACACATGAAGTGTTGCCCTACGCAAATCTGTACTTCATGAGTTTCATCAACTGACATTGTAGATAGAGTCTAGTTCTTGAGCCAAGTCAAATATGTTTAAATTACTTTTTTCTTACCTAGATTTCTTAGTTTTGATTTGAATGTTTACTTATACTAATTGATCATTTAACTATTGACCAATGTCATAATCGTCTGGTTTCTGACCCTGGTTGAATACTAACAATAAGGCCGTAGTTTGGTCACTAGTTCGAATAGCTTGATATTGAGTATATTACATGCGATCAGTATTATTCCCCAAGAGGTCAGGTCACCAGCTGTAATAAATGATGACGAGTAAAATATTCACACAGACGGCATCAGTCGCTTCAACACCATACCATCGTCAACTACCACAATATAACGATCCACGGCTTATTGACGATTGTTTACACAGGCAGAAAGGAACTTTACTTTCATTAGTTTCCAATAAGCTTCAGTTGCTAAATAGTTCTTTCGGGATTCGATGCACAACGTTAAGTTAAAAATAATTCATGCAATTCATTCTGAGAAGTACCTTCATATTTTTGCACTTGAAATCACAAATCAACCAAAGCTAAACTATCACTGAAAACCTGAAAGCACTGGACAGCCATTTCGTATTGACACATAAGTTTTCAACATTGATCTAGAGGTTAAGTGTTAGCGCCTGAGACAGAATGTTATGGGTTCGAGTAAAATGTACGGGACCGCGAATACTCTCTGCTGAATGGTCCTATACATAAACGAAACGGCTCGTGATTTCAACTGTGAAAAGACTACAATCTGCACAAATCCCCAATATTGATAGAAATACCTTGATAATCTAAAGCGTTTCCAATTGTTTTCAAACTATTATCAATTTCTGATGACACACATTTTATGATTTAAATTTATTTCCCACACAAGGTTACTTAATTGAAAATATTGATATACTGTGTAGATGGATAGGGTTCATAGTTTAATCGCCAAGTATCAGTCAACTGCTTTTGGATGGGAGAAGAAAAACTTAGCTGATCACCTTAGCAATAACAACGACGAAAATCTGAAAAAAAATTAAATTTGCGCCTGAACAGTTCTACTTATCAAACTTGATTCAACGAACGCTCAGCCTAACAAATGTACTTTAGGTATTAACCAATATAAGTAAAAATATTTATGAATTATTCAAAATAGAGCCATTAGGGGCAGATGTCTTAGAAAAATCGCTCGCATCTATTGGGATCACCAGATAAGTAATAGGGAGGTTAGATGTAGGGTATTAGGGATTGATGGTAAATCAGTTGATAAGGTTGTGAATCATTATCGACTGAGATGGTTGAACCACGTGCTGCGTATACCTGAACACCGATTACCACGACACGCAATACTGACTAGTGTTAGAGACGGTTGGAAGAAAGTTAGGGATGGCCAAACCAAAACGTGGCATCAGTCCTTGAAGTCACTATCTTGTAGTGTGAGCCATGTTAGTAGATGCAGAATACTTGATTGACGTCCGCGTGACTATCGTAACGAATGGTTAGAGACTGTGTATGACATGGCTCAGAGTCAGTCACAGTATTGTAGGTGTATACACTCTCTGTATTCCATTAAACTATAAGATTAAAATCGCTTTATATCTTTCATTCTACGAACTGATTCTTTCTTCCTGTACTATATCCTTGTACACATACTTTCTTTTATATAATACACCATTGAATTAACTACTTCTAAGAATCCGGTGTTCATGTTGTTGTGCGGATGAGGTATGGCAAGTTGGACCGATGCAAATGTGTGCCTGATCCTAAGTTGTAGCTGACTGACTGTCTGACTGACAATTTGTGTATATGTCTTACTCGTTGTGATTTGTATTATAACTGACTACTCAATTCTGACTATTTGATAAGGAAACAAAGATCAATGTACGAATTGTAATGTTCTCTAAAATCTGAAAAATAGTGTATTTATTTTGCTTCTTTTTTTAAACAAACAAACAAACAAACATACCGTAAATGAATTGTTCAGCATTCAAAAGATTAAAAGGGATTCAACGTCACTGGTATGTATTTGAAGAGTCTACATTGAAATTAATGGCTTATCGTAATGAAATGGATGCAGCTATTCCAGATAAAGAACCATTGAAAATAATCAATATTCATGGAGCTGTATTTCATATTGATCCTGCTGAACATAATCAATTTAGTATTATGTAAGTAAAATGTTAATCATTATTGTTGTTGTTTAAAACTGCATTATGTATCGAAATTATATTAACTGTCAAAGGTTTTAAAACGAGAAGGTAGTAGGTAGTCATTTCACGTTAGTATTGGACTTCTTACTCCGAATAGAGCTCTTCTGAGGCTACTGTCGGTCTCAAGCTCGGATAAAGGAGTAGAGTTGGGCATAGGGTTAGCGATCCCATACCGTAGAAAACTAACTCGCTAAAAAAACGCTAACCAGAAAAAAATTATTCAAACCACTGGACTTCTTAGTAGGTTTAACCATAAGTCTATATGGAACGAGACTCAAACCTGTCACTTCTCATGATGATGACTTAATGTATGAATCACTGAATCAAAGTCCAAAGGTCTACATTTAAAACTTTGTAATATAACGCACTGATAATTTAATATCATTGGTGTCCACTGCTTTACTCATAGAATTTACAACCTTCTATTTGGAATTTCATAACTTATCCTAAAATAAGTTACTAGCTTAATACACAATTTTAGTTTTAATTAAGGTTTTTTGTTTGGAGATTATTTTGGATCAATATTCTTTACTCATTGTCGATCAATTATGTATAAAAGATCGTATCTGATGTATTCAGAAGTTTGTGCTGTTTATGCTGGAATCATTTGATAAAGTTTCTCTTCTGATATGATTTATGTATCACTGAAGTGTTAAAATCTATAAAGCAATATTCTGAGTTACCTATCTACAGAAAACAGTTGACGTTGAGTATAAGATGATAATTATAGTGACTTATTATGAATTAGTGTTATTAACCGGATTTCATCGATTACTGGTTGCAACTTCAATTTACCTTAGTAGATCAGTGAGTTGGAGATTTAGATTGTTATCAGAATGGGTTTTGTGGAGATTTTAGAAATTTCACAGATTGAAAAACCTGGAAGTACTGGACGACCGTTTCGTCCTATTGTGTGATTCCTCAACACTGCACACCCACGATCTCGCTCACGGAATCCGAACACAGGGCCTCCAATCTCGTGCGCAAACGCTTAATCTCTAAACCATTGAGTTGGATTCCAACGGTGTTAACGTGTAACCTGGGTTCGAGTTTCACGGATTGGATCGTGGACGCGCACTGCTGAGGAGTCCCACGATAGGACGAAACGGCCGTCCAGTGTTTTCAGGTTTTCAATGGTGGTCTAACATTAATCGGTTCATGATCTCAATCAAAAATTTAATAATCTCCACAACCCTATATTAAACAAACAGGATGTGTAAGATTTCACTTTGATTGTGACCAACTGTCTGACTGATTGCCTAGCTAACTGACTATATACCATCAGTAGGTAACTGAAAGTGGAATATTCAAATAATACTTGAAAGAACTGACAACCAAACGTGAAGTCCTTCATATTATCGAATGCTTGACACACAAGACATTGATCACCACCCAGTGATCAATTAATTGTGAGGAATAACGGTTAGAATTTAATTACATTTTTGTATTTTTAATTCACCAATAATTCCATATACTATCGATTACATGATTAGAGTTTTCTTCTAGTAATCGACTGTTTTGTCTCGATATAGTTTTAAGCATATGAAACATTTGGAATAGTTATTTTTATCAGGTCACTTCTACTAATGAAAAATATACAGAAATCAACATTGAAATCTTCATTTTGTATTTGTATATTGTGACTTATATCCAATAACACTGAAGTATCAGAAGGGGTTTTGTGGATATTATATTAATTTCAATAGTCGAGATCATGAGTCATTTGAAGCTAGATCACCATGGAAAACCCGGAAGCACTGGATGACCGTTTCAGTCTAGTATAGGGCTCCCCAGCAGTGTTGACCTAGGATCCCGCCTCGTGAGATTCGAACCCAGGACTTATCGGTCTCGCGCGTGAGCGCTTAACCATTAGACTGAAGTAGTTTGGGTAATCAATATGATTATTTGCAGTGATTTACTTTGATTTATGTTTGTTTTACGATCATAGGTCAGATGGAAAAGAACATATTCTTCAAGCAGAAACAGAAGATGCTATGCTGTTATGGCTTCATGCTTTACAGGTAACATTGTTTTATAGTTTACATGATGAGTTGTTAAATAATCATTTAAAAGTAGAAATTACTATATATTTGTTCGGTCGAAATATGAGTCTCTACATCATTAAACATCCACGAACCCAATAGAAACTGAACTCAGGATCTTCATGCTTCACATGGAATACTTAACTTTCACAATTGAATGATCACCACCTAATGATCAGTCTATTATTGGCATATGTTCATACTGTATGCATTGCCTGGATATTCCCTTAAATTACAAGCTTTATAAGCAGAGATGGATAGTGGCTAGCAATGGATGGCAGGATTCAATAGTTAATTAGATAACGCGATGGCGTTTGAAGTGAACAATACTGGGTTCGAGTCCCCAAGAGTGAACATCAACTCTGAGATAGAGGTACATTCAGCTGACGAGTCCCGAATAGGACGAAACATTTTTTTTAAAGAAATTATTCAAATAAGTGAATTTTCCACATTAACATTCATATTTTCAATCTTGTTGACTATTTTAACTTTCTTTTTTTTAAAAAAAAGACAAGAAGAAACGAAGCTGTACATGCAAGTGAATCTGACAGTTCATCTCCTAATGATGATAGTTTAACAGATTATAAATTATTTCGTCAAAATTCTTTAATGAAAATGCAAATGTCAATACCAGTAAGTGTAGTTTATGCAAAATTATCAGATTAGGAGCACATAATATTGATTAATAAAGATTTGACATAAATCGATATTGAATTCATTTGGTATTTGATTGAGATCATGAACCGCCATTGAAAACCTGGAAGCACTGACCAGTGGAGTTAATCCGTGTTGGGTAGAAACAGGTGTCTACTTCAGTACAATGGAAGATGGTCGCGCATCTTGGTGGATTGGTTGAGGTTAGACATGAACACCGTTGGATGCCGGTTCAGTGATCCAGTAAGTTAAGCGTTCGAGCGCGAGGTTGAAGGCCCTGTGTTTGAATCCTGTGAGCGGGATCGTGGAAGCGCACTGCTGAGGAGTCCCACAATAGGACAAAACGGCCGTCCAGTTTTTCCAGGTTTTCCATGGTGGTCTAATATCAATCAGTTCATGATCTCAATCAAAAACTTAGCAATCTCTACAACTCCTGAACTGATTATTTGGTATTGGTTACTTGAATCTTCTAATTGATTTTCAAGTCTGCGATAGATCAAAGTGCATATCCTGAATTTCACTACTAGCCTATTATCCATCTCTACTTATAATGCTCGTGAATTAAGGTAATATTGTGACAATACACATACATCCCCAAACAGAATCATATTCTATTTCAATAAAAAAACATCAATCAAACGATCCATTTTTCTTTGAAAACGTGGACAGTTCAATACCATAGTTATTATAGTTATTGCATCGTCCAATATAAACGAGATTTGATAAAGTGCCTATTTAGCAGGCTTGATCGTATTTATACAAATGACGCTATTGATGATGACGTTAAGTTGCTAAACAAAAGCTTAATGGAAAATGGCTATCCTCTGAAATTCATAAATAGATTGAAAGTTCATGGTACAGTGAGACCTACTATAGCCTGGGTAGAGAAAAGTCTGTCTAAATCACCTTACCATTTAGAGGTGATTCAAATAGTCTTTTATTGAAACAAAGGCTTAAATTATTGTAAGCAATGATGGATAGTGGCTAGCAGTGGAATCCAGGACGAGCGCCACTTCGTCCTATTTGGGACTCGTCAGCTAGATGTACCGGCATCTCAGAGTTGATGTTCACTCTGGGACACGAACCCAGTACCATTCTCTTCAAACGCCATCGCACTATCCACTCAGTTACTGAGTCCTGATAGCCATTTGCTTGTGCAATGAGGTGAATTTAAATTTGTTCAGGCTTAAATTAGTCATCAATAAAACGTACTGTGCAGCAAAGGTCATTATCAAGGTAACAACAAGGTTCATGCTTCATCGAAAACCTGAAAGACAAAAGAAACGATTGCGTCACGCCTTACTGTGTTTATCAATTTAAATGTGTGTATGGTCACACATAAAGAAAGGAGGAGTAATCGTGATCTCAAAATTAGGGTGTGTGAACATGTACTCAAATGGTTGCAGAAATAAATAGAATCAAATGACCTAATAAGAGTAAAGGATAAACATTCATCATCCTTTATTACCAAACACATAATTGAAACAGGTCATAAAACAGTGTAAAAGGGCGTATACTAAGGTTTATTGAAGCCTTAGCCATACGAAAATTCAAACCCTCTTTGTGTATTCAAAAACAGTTTGTTCGCACCTTAAACCTACCCTACTAATATTAGCTTATTATCCAGAGTGATGAGATTTCGCATTGTTTTACATATTATTATTATTATTACTCTTATTATTTGAAAGATTCCCATAGTGTAATTTAGACCAACATAGATATAAGCGAACAATATTGTTTTCCATTAGATTCTCATCATGATTTACTCTAATATACAGTAATATTTCTAAGCATATACGAAATCGAATCGCGCGAGATGGGATCATGGATGAGTACTGCTGAGGAGTCCCACAATAAGACAAAATGAACATCCAGTGCTTTCAGGTTTTCCATGGTGGTCTAGCTTTAATTGACTCATGATCCCAACTATTGAAATATACGAAATTATTGAATTAATCAAGGCAGTTTATGTTCAGTTATGTAATCCAATTACTTAACTAAACATAATAAGTTAAAAGTACAAATTGGTAGTATGATGACAAACGTAATAAAGGCATGAATCAAGGTTACATAACGGGAAATAGGTCAATGATTAGGAAAATATAGACAATGATGCGCACTGCTGAGGAGTCCCATACTAGGACGAAACGGCCGTCCAGTGCTTTCAGGTTTTCAATGGTGGTCTAGCTTCAACTGACTCATGATTTCAATCTGTGAAATTCATAAAAAGGTTATAAGATTACGTAATAAGAGGTGTTCAGATAATTGAATGGTGAAGCGAATATTTGAGAGAAAAGAAAAGGATAAAAGGGGGTGAAAG